CTTCCTCCTCTCCTCTTTTTCTTCCACCCCCTCTGCTCCTTTTCACCTTTTCTTCCTCCTCCTCTGCTTCTTTTCTTCCCCACCTCTGCTCCTTTCCTTCCACGCCCTCTGCTCCTTCTCTTCCACCTCTGCTCCTTTCCTTCCCCATCTTTCCTCCTTTTCTTCCCCAATTTTGCTCCTTTCCTTCCACCTCCTCTGCTCCTTTCCTTCCACCTCCTCAGCTCCGTTTCTTCCCCACCTCTGCTCCTTTCCTTCCCCAAATCTGCTCCTGTCCTTCCCCTTCTCTGCTCCTTTTCTTCCACCTCTTCTCCTCCTTTTCTTCCCCCTTCTCTCCTCCTTCCCTTCCCCTCCTCTGCTCCTTTTCTTCCACCTCTTCTCTTTTTCTTCCACCTCTTCTCTTTTTCCTCCCCACCTCTTCTCCTTTCCTTCCCCACCTCTTCTCCTTTTCTTCCTCCTCTGCTCCTTTCCTTCCCCAAATCTGCTCCTTTTCTTCCCCAAATCTGCTCCTGTCCTTCCCCAAATCTGCTCCCGTCCTTCCCCTTCTCTCCTCCTTTTCTTCCCCCTTCTCTCCTCCTTTTCTTCCTCCTCTGCTCCTTTCCTTCCCCAAATCTGCTCCTTTTCTTCCACTCCCTCTCCTCCTTTTTCTCCACCACCTCTGCTCCCTTTCTCCTATCCTTCCACCTTCTCTGCTCCTTTTGTCCTTTTCATCCCCCTCTGCTCCTTTTTTTCCACCTCCTTTTCTCCTTTCCTTCCCCAATTCTGCTCCTTTTCTTCCCCATCTCTGCTCCTTTTCTTCCCCATCTCTGCTCCTTTTCTTCCCCAAATCTGATCCTTTTCTTCCCCAAATCTGCTCTTTTCCTTTCACCCCCTCTGCTCCTTTTCTTCCCCAAATCTGATCCTTTCCTTCCCCACCTCTGCTCCTTTCCTTCCACTCTGCTCCTTCTCTTCCACCTCTGCTCCTTTTCTCCTTTTCTTCCACCTCTGCTCCATTTCCTTCCTCACCTCTGCTCCCTTCCTTCCACCTCTGCTCCTTTCCTTCCCCATCTCTCCTCCTTTTCTTCCCCAATTTTGCTCCTTTCCTTCCACCTCCTCTGCTCCTTTCCTTTCACCCCCTCTCCTCCTTTTCTTCCTCCTCTGCTCCTTTTCTTCCCCTCCTCTCCTCTTCTTCTTCCACCCCCTCTGCTCCTTTTCTTCCACCTCTCCTTTTCTTCCTCCGCTGCTCCTTTTCTTCCTCCTCTGCTCCTTTTTTTTCCACACCCTCTCCTCCTTTTCTTCCACCTCCTTTTCTCCTTTTCTTCCTCCGCTGCTCCTTTTCTTCCACCTCTGCTCCTTTCCTTCCCCAAATCTGCTCCTTTTCTTCCTCCTCTCCTCTTCTTCTTCCACCTCCTTTTCTCCTTTTCTTCCACCTCTCCTTTTCTTCCTCCGCTGCTCCTTTCCTTCCCCAAATCTGCTCCTTTTCTTCCTCCTCTGCTCCTTTTTTTCCACACCCTCTCCTCCTTTTCTTCCACCTCCTCTTCTCCTTTTCTTCCTCCTCTTCTCCTTTCCTTCCACCCCCTCTCCTCCCGTCCTCCCCCACCTCCATCTCCCCTCCCTCCATCCCCATCATGGCTCTCTTCTCTCCCGGCCCGGCCCCGCCAGGCTTTTCCTTTGGCCCCGATGAGTTAGAGGAGGAGGAGGAGGAGGAGGAGGAGGAGGAGGAGGAGGAGGAGGAGGAGGCTCTGGAGAGGCAGCAGCGCTCCCCCAAAAGTAGCGTCAGCAGCGTCACCACCCCCCCCGCGCACGGCCGGCGCATCCCTTTCTTTAGGAAGGTAACGGCCCCGCCCGCTCGGCACCTAAGGGTGCTGGCGGGGATGGGGCACCCGTGGGTGCGCCTCGTGGGGCTGGGGGCACCCATGGAGTCACCTCATGGGGCTGGGGGGCACCTCATGAGGTCACCTCGTGGGGCTGGGGGCACCCCACGGGCTGGGGTCACCTCATGGGGCTGGGGGCACCCTTGGGTGCGCCTCATGGGGCTGGGGGCACCCCATGGGAGCGCCTCATGGGGTTAGGGACACCCATGGGTGCGCCTCATGGGGTCACCCCACAGGACTGGGAGCACCTCATGGGGCTGGGGGCACCCCGCAAGGTCACCCCATGGGCCTGGGGGCTCCCATGGGTGCGCCTCATGGGGCTGGGGGCACCCCAATGGAGCTGGGAGCACCCCACAAAGTCACCTCATGGGGCTGGGGGCACCCATGGGGTCACCTCATAGGGTCACCCCACAGGCTGAGGGCACCCCATGGGGTCAATCCACAGGATTGGGGTCACCCCATAGGGTCACCCCACGGGGCTGGGGGCATCCATGGGCTGGGGGCACCTCATGGGGTTAGGGGCACCCATGGGTGCACCTCATGGGGCTGGGGGCACCTCCTATGGGCACCCCGCGGGGCTGGGGGGTCTCGCGCTGCCCTGGTGCCGTGGGGCCGGCTCCTCCT